ACAATTTGCTATTTATCGCTTCTCTACATTTGAAGTTGGAATATTTGGAAAAGTCTCTATTGGAAACTTACATATTGTGATTGGACTAATTGGCATCACCAAGCAATTTAAATATCACAGAACTTTATTCTTCATTGTACCTTTATTGGACTACTAGGAATAAGGCTCCTTGTGGAAACAAATACAATGAGCTCTAGAAAGAGGCTCTGGAAGAGTGCCCTGGGCTTGGGCACTCAGTGTAAATTTGCTGTGGTGACCTCAGCAGGGTATAATGACACTAAGTCCACCATTTTCTCCAGAGGAACTGATCTCTGCTACCTGAAGAACAGTTGTAATTTTGAGTGATCTCCAGCCCTCACCTGGAGATTGGCACCAATGGTTCCCCAGGAAGGAATGGCTGGTTTGGTGGAGTCTATGGCATTGTACCTGTCTGAGGTCCCACCCCTCCTCAAACCTCACCCTCTCCAGGCTCTGTCCCTCGAATTTCCCAACTGGAGTTGGCAACCCTATCTCCTTCCCAGCCAACCATCAACCTACCTTTATCTGCCCCTCTGACTTCAGCTTTCCATCTCCCCCCCCTCCTGGAGAGCAATTGTAAATCTGAGTGATCTCCAGCCCCCATCTGGAGATTGGCAACACTGGTTCCCCAGGAGGGAATGGCTGGTTTGGAGGGTGGAGTCTATGGCATTGTACCTGTCTGAGGTCCCACCTCACCCTCTCCAGGCTCTGTCCCTCGAATTTCCCAACTGGAGTTGGCAACCCTCTCTCCTTCCCAGCCAACCATCAACCTACCTTTATCTGCCCCTCTGACTTCAGCTTTCCACCCCCCTCACCTGCAGCCTCTACTGTGCTCTGAAGCCCTGACTGCTACATCACATTGGCTGTCATATGGGGGCCATCTCAGCAGGGTATAAGGATACAGAGACCACCAATTTCTCCAGGGGAACTGATCTCTGCTATCTGGAAAGCAGTTGTAATTCTGAGTGATCTCCAGCCCTCACCTGAAGATTAAGCCAAAAATGAGAGATCACGGGAGGAAGTGGAATTCCAAACAGAACCGTCTGTTATTAGACAGTCAACATGGAATATTTCCTTCAGGAGTTGATAAGTAGTGATTGATAAGAATTGGGATTGCTACATGCTCAGATAAAGCAAATATTGTGAAACAAATTGTTCATTGCGCAGTATTTGTTAGCATGTGAGTGATAATAGAATAAATTTTTCTACAGAAATTACTACAGTAAACATTTTTGCAACTTATCTTTATTGACTCTTCATTATTTTTGTCACAGATGTTGTTTTTGGAATTCCACTCACCTAGAGATTGGCAACAATGGTTCCCCCAAAGGAAAAGTAGTCTTTTTCTGCAATGGGGACCAAAGCATCTTACTTCATTCTCCTCTCTGCCTTTTGACTTGCACAACAACCCTGTGAGGTAGGTTAGGCTGAAAGTCTTTGACTGGTCCAAAAATCACCCATTCAGCTTCTACAACAAGAACCTCACTCAGGCTTCCTTGTCTCTTCTGAAGGCCTCTCACTTAAGGCTCCCTTCAGGAATCACTTTTAGGAAAGAAAGGATAGGTAGAAAGGTTAATACAGGTCCAGCGCTGAGTCTCCTTGTGAGGCATAAGGGATCCGGGTCATGGCACCAATTGTTGTGTGAAAATGTGTTGTGAGAAAATGTGTGGCTTCTCGTGTCTGTAAATGCGGTTTTACCAGTGCCACCCACCCTCTCCTTGGTTCGTGTGTCCCCTGAGTGTTGCCTCCTTACCAAAGGCGAATGGTGCAAGTTTGGAAGCCACTAAAGGCTGGCAGAGACACTCAAGCAAGGGTTTCATCTTCCAATAAAACTTATCTTTATTAAAAGAAAAACATTCAAAGGTTTACCTGGCATGGTGACCAGCACGGCACTATGCCAGCTTGCCAACACAGTAGACTCCTATTTCCTAAATATTGATAGTGAATACACAGAAAAATAAACATGCAAGCAAAGTTCTCTCCCACCCAAAGCATGCAGAAAACGAAAGGCCTTCCGGGCTGACCCGTAAAGTTTCCAGAGAGTAAGAACCTCTCCTGATCCTTCAAGAGCCAGCGAAGGCAAATGATCAAAGAGGTCCCCCAATAATTACATTACAGTTGTGAATTAACATTTTGAAGTTTTACAGGAGATTTGCTTCCCTGCGTCTCACATGACAAAAGTTACATTTTACAGGATCAATACTGTGTCATTGTTTGTCCTTTGATGTTATCTCTGAGATGGAAGCGGGGTGTGTGAATTCCTGTATCTCAGGAGTCCCTACCGGATTGAAGTCTGTCACTGCCCAAATGGCCTTTCCTGTCAGCTGCAGTTTATTGCTGTATATTGTGGGTCTCACACCTGTGGAAATTTACATTGATTCAGATCCTGGGAATGGAATTTGATTCAGATCCTGGGAATGTGAATTTTTGTGTGTGTGACCAAGAAAGAGATTTGCCTGGAACAAAGGGTTTGCCAAGAATCATGGGGTTTGGTTCAGTGAAGCAGGCCAAGCCTGTTTGCTGTTTTGCTAGCAAAGACAGGGACAGATACATGGATTTTATAAACTATTTGGTTCATTTTTAAACCCAAACCTTCTATATTTCTAACATTTCTTACCACACAAACGACCTCTGTGTTCTGACAGGCTATGGGGGGGGGGGAGGAACAGCAAACTGTTTAGAATGTTGTAGGTGAGACTCAGGCAACGCAGCCAGTGGATACGGACAGCTTCTGAGTGACACATCAGGGAGCCAATTGATTTGGGAGCATGCGGAATGTTCAGGAGAGTACCACTACCAAAATAGAATTATTATATAGAGAGATGGTTGAACTGAGTGTTGCACCTTACTAAGAGTCTTTCTATTGAACCTATGGATGAATTTTCTGTGGTATAAGTTGATGTCATGTTGTTTGCTTAGTTATTGTTTCATGGTTGTTTCTTACCTTTGCTCCCACCTGGAGGCTGGCAACCATTAGCCCATGGCAAGGATCCCACACACAATCACAGTCCCCAAGCACCTTTTGTTTTTTAACTTGAGCAGTGCCCAAGACTCCTCCAACAGTATGTTGAGAACACAGTTCATTCCCTCCCCACACACACTACTAAAATCTACAATTGAGGGCAGCACTCCCCCCTCCCCCCGGCTACCCTTGCTCTGTTTGTTTTCATCATGGATTATGAAGTGCTCCAAAGGTGAGGGGCAGAACCACATGCTAGTTCTGTAGTCTCTGAAAAATACTTCTCCCACTACAGTTGCCAGGGTTGCTTTAATGGGTACCTATAAAAGTGGTGGTAAAGGCAGCTTCAGGGTAGCTTTTTTCAGTTAAAAAAAAAAACAGGTCAAAGATCCCCTCTGTCTCTTGTAAAAGTAGCCCTGGCAGTTGCATTTGCATCTGATGAAGTGAGCTTTGGCTCACAACAGCTTCTGCTATAATAAATGTGTTGGTTAAGGCACCACACAAATTGCTTATTATTTTGGCTACAGCAGACTAATGCAGCTACATCTTTAGAATGTAAATGTTGCTGTGTTAATTCTGCCCTACATTATCCTTCCTTTTGGCTATATATTGCATGGGGTAAGTTATTTAACGCAGTAAACAGGGCAGTGATAGTAGTTAACTTTAATTCTTGTTGATGTGGTTTTTGATAGGGCTGCCAGTATTAATCGATATGTGCAATCAAGCAATGAAAACATGAATTACGACAAAAAGTTTAAGCATGGGTTCTGAAACTTTAGAGGGCCCTACTGCCCTGATTAAATTACTCTCCGTGTGCCCTGCCCATTCTTTCTGCCCTGCCCAAATCTGATAAAGAAGCAACTTGAAAATGGATTGCATTTCCCTTTTCAAATCCAAAGCTGGCACTTGGGTAATGCTGGGGCCTGGCCACAGAAGCCTCCTCCTCACCGGCCACTGATGCTGCCTTCCATAGTGGCAAAGAATGCAAGATCACAGAAAACCCTTGAGGGAACTCCATGTGCATGCACTCATAACAGCCTGCAGGCATTGCCTAGCACATGTGCACATACCAATGCACACATGTTCAAAATAATCACAATTAAAATAATCTTAAAATTCAAGCAAAAATGAATGAACCAGCCCATACAGTTTCCCTCTCT